GACCCCAGGGAAGACATGGCCACATGGTGTATCCAGGTAGATGGGGCTGGGCTCAGACAGCCCATTGAGGGACACAGAATTTGTGAGGTAAGCGCCTGTGAAAGGAGGACCTGGATGTCCCAAGAGGGATAGGACCCAGGAGACCCTGTAGGAGTGAGCATGATTTAGCAGGTCTGTGGGCGGAACCAGGAGTCTGAAGCAGATGGGACATTGACAACCTCAGCCAGACGTCATGTGGACACGCAGGGCCAGGTGACCCCCTCCCCACTGCCAGGGAGGGGCGCCTAGATGCAGCCCCAGGGAAAGGCGGTGGGAAAGGAACCCCCGCTGGCCAAAAGCACATTTCTTTGACTTCGACAAAATGGAAGTGCCTCATGGAAATTCAGTTTAATCGTGAGGAAATAAAGCAAGTTCTATTTCATGTACATCTCAGTTTGTGGCTTCAATTCATTCCTCCCAGTAAGGAAGAGCAGTCAGTCAGCCAACTGACGGTCAGCCACCAGTACCGCCCCCCCACCACCCTGCTGCTGTACTGAAGAGGGTCCCCTGTTTCCTCCGTGTGCCTGGACCCCAGTTACTACTTCCTCCCGCCCACACTACCGCTTCCAGGCTGCAACTTCACACCCCCCTCCTGACCCTGCCCTGCAACCTTGCTGGCTCCTGGCCACCCCTGCCTCCAGTCCCGCTGAGTTTGCGGACCAGGAGCTCCCAGCCGTGTGGCTTGGCCCCGCGCACTCTTGACTCGTGTCATGGAAATCCCTCTTTCCTCTGGCTGGCCCCCAGCTCTCCCAGACTTGGCCCCACCCATAATGTTCTTGCCATCTGTTTCTGGTCTTGTTGAGTTTCTGCCTATGTTTTTCCCTTCTTCCAGATGTACACGTGGCAGTATGTGGCTACTGGGAGGGGCCTGGAGCTGGCAGGAGAAGGGGGCGCAGGAAAGAGAGCTGCCTGATTTCAAGGCCCGGTTCTTCCTCCCCCACGTTCCTCTCCCCCTGTAGTTCGGTGCAAGTCATTCAATCCAAGAAACACTCCTCTGAGCACCCACTATGTGCTGGCCACGGAGAATGCACGAAGCCCCGTCACACTCAGTGCTCACTCAGAAGAGAACCGAGACTCACAGGGAGGAAGTGACAAGCCCGGGTCACACGTACAGGAGAATAATGTCTGTTCTGAGCCAGGAGCCGTTCTAAGGGAATGCGGGCCTGGGATCAGAGCCCCTTGGCCTGGGGCCTGGCTCCAGAGTCCACGTGCTCTAAACTTCGAGCTTCTCTAAAACTTTGTAAGCCCCTGTCACATGCACTTTATATTTTGTGGAACAATCAGCAGTAATTTCACGTGCTCTACCTCATCGTTAGTCCATAGGTCCTAATGTGGGGTTCTGAAAATGCAATACAATCAGTACATATAGCCTTGGATACACCCAAAGGCCTCAGTTGGGGCAAAAGAGGAGGGATTTTGAATCTGATGTGATTAGATGTTGAATCTAAGGACAGTGAGGGGGTCCAGAGAGGTTAGATGAGTTACCCAGCACCCTCCAGTCCTCAAGTCAATCAGGTGACTCCCTGGGCAAAACTGGCCCAGGGGCCCAACTCCTGCACCCAGGCCTGCCCTCCTCCCACTGTCAGAGAAAAATCTTACAGGAATAAGACACCCTGGTAGATCCTTTGCCCAAGCTGGACCCCCACCTGGCTACCTCCTCCCACCCCTCTGCTAGTAAATCTCTTGCCTCCTTCAAAGTCCAGTGGCAAATAGCCCACTCCTCCAGGATGGCATTTACAATTCACCCAGTTTCCAGGCGTTCCATGTCCTTTCCTGGGTGACAGCAGAGCCCCCTCACTGCCTCCAGTCTCACCCTCTGTAATCCATGCTCCACCTGGCCACCAGAGTGATCTGCCTCTTAAATCAGCTCTAACCAGTAACTGCACTGCTCAGGACTCTCCTGCAGATGCCCAGCACCTAGGAAGTCAAGTCCAACCTTAGCCTGCCATTCAAGGACTTTGACTGCTTGGCCTCTACCTTTCCAGTCTCAAATCCCAGCCTGTTCGCTCGCTGTCTGCCTCCTTTCCAAACATTCATCTAACATACTGGTCTCTCACACTGTCCAGAACGTAGACTGTACTGTCCTACCTCCAATTCTTTCATCCCACTATTTCCTTTCCCTGTGACACGTGACTTTCAAACTCCTATTTATCCTCCAAGGCCCTGCTTAAATGTCCCCTCCACTAAGAAGCTCTCCCTGATCACGCTTTCCAGCATTCTGCTCTCTCTTCCCTGCACTCCCAGTGGCAGAGGAAGGAGCGTCTGTATGGATCTTCCCAGGACAGCTGAGGACTTCCCAACACACCCTACTCAAGACCATGGAATAAATCCAGGCCACCCACCCAGGCAGCAAGCCACCAAGGACGCTGCATCAGCTCTACCCCTGGTTTCGACCCAAATCGCTGTTTGATCACCCCTTCCCCTCGATATTTCCTGCATTTGCCCAAGGCTACCCAACCAAGCAATAGCAAAGTGGGGCGAGGTCCCCCGACATCCAGTCTGGGGTACTTTCCATTTCATGGGGCTGTTTGTTCTCCTGGCCCCCCCCCCTTTCCTTTCCTCATTGCCTAACATTTCAGAGGGAAAAATGTCATTCATGTAACTGAAGGGTGGCCCCAGGGTGGGGAGGCGGCTAGGTGGGCATTCCGCTGGTGTCAGCGGGGCTAAGCACTGCAGCTTTTCTGAGAGGTGTCATCCCCACCTAGAAGCAGGCGTGGGGGGCTCCAGTTTTATAGGGCCTGTACCTAACGCCAACCAAGGCCTTGCTTGTTGGGAGAACCTCCATCACAAAGATCTAGTGGCTCTTACCACCCATCTAGGCTGTGCCACCAAGTCAAGATCTGGGATCCCAGGCAGTCCAGAGGCTGCATCTGAACCCAAGATGGAAGAAGTGTTTGCAGCAGCAGGTCAGGTGAGACGACAGAGGGGCTGCCCGTCTCGGAGCCCTGAGCTAATATGGCCTGGAAATGCCTGAGGCCCTTGGCAAAAGACAAGCTTCAATCCTCCTGCAGGTACTTGGCAAGAAGCTTCAAAAGCTTTGCTGCCTCTGCAATCAGCAAACCAATTGTCTGTATGATGTCCATGAGCAAAGAAATCCCTGGTATTAGGTGCAATCTTTACCACCAGGGTGGGGCAGGGTGCTGATGAGGCTGATAGTACACCAACAGAGCCTGGGCCAAAAATATGCTGGGAGAGCTCACCCTGGGTAATAGCCTCCAACCTGCTAGGGGCCTCTTGGGTGACAACTGGAAGGCGTTCGGGGGTGGTGGGTAGCCTCCTTCAGGGACCAGGTGGGCTCCAAGGAAACATACTCAAGGCCACCCTGGCCTGGGTTGGCCGCTGGGCTTAACTACTTACTGAATCTTGGGGCAGTTATGGTGTTTGTTTGTTTTTAATATCAGATCTTATTTATTTGTTACTCTTAAAAAATCTCATTTTTGACTGAGCTCAGATTTAGAGGTAGAAGCTCTCAGAGAAGACAGCCCATGTCTCTTGGCCATCTACCTGTTCCTGGCATTTTTCTTCAGCCTCCTTCATTCTCTTGGCCAAAAGTCGAGCATATTGTGCAGCCTCTTCTTGTTTTTCCTAGTTCGCTGTTTCTTCAGAGCAGTATGCTGACATTTGTTTTGCAGGGCGTGTGGAGTAACAAGACGCTGACTCTTGGGTGATTTGGTCCTAGGATTCCTACCTTCTTGATTTGGGGGACAGCACCTTCTTAAGAGGGATTAAAAAGTCTGTGGATTCTGCTAGCTCTTTTGGGCCCCAGCGACAAGGCCCAGTAGTGTCAGTTTCTCCCCTTTTTTTATAATGGCCACATGGAGAACACTCCGATTGGCGTCCACAATGCAACCCCGAATAGATTTGCACTTCCTTTCTCCAGCCCTCCTTGGTCTGTAACAGGAATGCCCCTTACTCAGGAGCAGGCGGACACGGCCATGGGTCAAGACAACCTGCTTCACGGGGAAAGCTTTTTGTCATTCCCACTACTGATTCGAACCACATAACCCTTCCATTCTTCACCTAGAGCATCAGCTGCTACTTCCGTGGCCACGCGCGTCTCATAAAATGTACGAAGTTTGCGTTCATCGTCCACTTCAATGAGTTTCTGGCAGCCAGTGGCTGGCAAAGAGATGTCCAGCTTCATCCTGAAGCAGCCGACCATCTGCAAGGCACCATGAGAAAGAGGGGTGGTTTGTCCTTTATAGAATGTTCTTCCACATGGTGCCCAGGAAGCCATCAAACATGGTAATACGGGCTGCCCCTGCATGGAGGGGAGTCAACGTGGGTTACTTTAAATACATATGTGTGAGTAGCCACCATGCTAGCTTAGAAAGTTAGCCCACTGTACAGCGTAGTGTGTGTTTTCCTCCATTGAATACTAACAGTTCTCTTGTAAATATTATATGCAAAGCATGAGACGGAATCCTCAGATGAGGGCCTGCGGTTTGCTCAGCATTTCTGAGCATCTGACCAGAACGTAAGCCCCATGGGTGTTCTCTAAGGGGGGGCAATGAGTTGTGCTCCTTACTGCAGGCTCCGTGCCCAGTGGGACACAGCACACAGTAGGTGCTCAATAGGTTTGGTTCAAAGGATGGACACTCACCAGCGCTCACCAGCCCCTCTTCTAGTCCTTATGGCCGCCCTGTGAGGTATTTCATCATTATCCCCATTTTACAGATAAGGAAACCGAGACTCAGAGGAGTAGGGACTTTCCTGAGGCCACAGCCAGGTGTCGCACAACAAACTCTGAGCTGGTTCTGATAACATCAATGCGCACCAGCTGCCTGAGTGACTGAGGGGGGCCGGTTTCTTTATGGGTAGGGAACTCGTAGAGCGGAGCTCTGGGCTGCCTCAGTCTTACCAGAGCTCTGGATCTGGGCCCCAGGGGAACCGGGATCAGCTGCCCTCCCAAGGTGGGCAAAGAGCATTGAGCAGAAAAAAACCAGGCTGAATCACCAAGAAGACAAAACCTTTAATCACGCTGGACAAGCAGGGCAGGGTGCAGAAGGGCTGGGAGTGGTTGTATAGCACCGGCCTCCATCAGGCCCTTGGTCAGGCCCTGCTGCCATCCCCGGCCATGCAGCCGTGGGTCCCTGGGCTATGAGTGAGCACCAGAGGTCACTACTGGGCCCCTTCTGCCCAGAGTCTGCAAAAGCACCAATAGGTAGAGGCTGCCTCCCTCTGAGAAGAGGGTCAGGCCACCTGGGTCCCAGGAGAGGGAGGCTGAGGGCCGCCAGGCTGTCCCACACTGGGAGTAGGAGAAAGGACAGACAGCCTGATGTCCCTTACTTGGCCTGGGCCTCCCCCAACACCTCTCTTGGCATCATGGCTCAGAGGAGGGTCCCCCTGACTAACCTGGAATGCTACTCACTTCAGTTCCCCAGACCTGCTGAGGGCTCCAAAGCCTGGTGCCTTCTGTCCTGGCCCATTGCCCAGCGGCATTTCTAAAGGCAGCGCCAGGCCAGAGGAGACTCTGCTGGGCGGGAGCTGCCCACCAGGGCCTCAGCACCTTAAAGCCTGAAGAGCCGGGGCCATGGGCTGGCCACAGGGGCCAGCGAGGAACAGAGAGCACCTGGGAACCGACGTCAGTGTCTGACAGTGGCTGGACACCTGGGAGCACTGAGGCCCCGTCACCTTTGGCAGGATAAGCAAAGCCTTGACAGAGCCCTGGGAGTAGGGCAGGGATGGGGCGCTGTCAGGAGGGGAGGGGTCCTCACAGCTGATCATACGAGCTGTGTGGGGAGCTATGGGCCTGCGCGCCCTTCTCCCTTCCGTCTCCCACCCCCAAAAGCCCCCAAGGCCCTGGGTCCTTTCCACACAGCACCCTTGCCCTGACCAAGGCCCCTCAGAAGTTGGCTGTAATGACGGGCATCGGGCAGGAAAGAGAGGAGTAGGCAGGGAACATCCCCACACACCTCAGGGACCCTGTCCCACCAGCCTTGGGGCGTGTGGGTGATGCGGGGCCACAATGTCTGAATGCCCAGAACCCAGACTGATGTAACAGAAGCCCCGTGCGTTTCTCTGGGTCAGGTCTCAGAATCCTGTGTCTCCCCACCCCGGCTGGACGGCATACTCACCGAGAGCAGGGCCTGTGCATGATGCAGCCCCGCTTTCCCAAAGCTCAGCACAGAGCGAGCTCAGTGAATGATGGAGGAAGAATACATTAGCAGCGGCTGCACAGGTGGAGGTACAGGCGAGAGGGAGAGAGGCAGGGGGGGCGGGGAGCGGCAAGAGAACAAGGGAGGGGGACTCCTAGAGAAATGAGAGCAGTTGAGGATGTCAGGAAGATTCTAGAATGTTCGGAGGGTTCCAGAATGCTCGGGAAGTACCAGAATGCCGTGAAAGCTCTAGAATTCAGTTATTCCGTGGGGTCCATAGACCAGCAACATTAGTGTCACCCAGGAACTCATGAGAAATGCAGAATCCCGGGCCCACTCCCTGCCTGCTGGGTCAGAACCTACATTTTAGCATGATCCCCAGGTGATTCCCACGCGCATTCAAGTTTGAGAAGCGCTGGTCTAAAAGGCTGGGGAAGTTCTTCTAGAATACTAGGTTACATGGCTTCTCAAAATATGTCTGAGAGAGGAGAGCAGCAGAAACAGGCTGGGAGGGAAGGAGAGAAGAGGAGGGCTACCTGGAATGCCAGGCCCCGCGGGCCCGCTTTACACAGGTGAACACTGAGGCCCACGGGCGATGCGACCTGCCCACAGCCACCCCACACCACAGCCGGCCTGCTGGAGGCACTAATCGTCCTCCGGCTTGATGAGGTGGCCGCTGAAGGTGATGTAGGTGTCGACGTCGTCGCTGTACACGGCGTTCTCGCGCTCCCGCTTGAAGAGCCGCACCCAGACGCGGTCGCCCAGCGCCAGGGCCAGCATCACGCTCTGGCTCTGCATGATGCTGCGGTCGCTGGGCTGTGCGTACAGGATGACGGCCGCCTCCTCGTTGTGCACGACGTGCACGTAGGTCTCCTTGAAGTTCCAACTGTGCACGTTGAGGCTGAAGAAGTAGAGGCCGCGCAAGGGGGCGACAAAGTGGCCGGCAGCCAGGTCGAAGTGCCCATCTGGGTTGACGAAGACGGTGTCGAAGAGCAGCGGCTGGAAGCCCTCGCTGCTGTGCAGGGCCGTCTTGCGGCCCACCGAAAAGGCGGAGAAGCGCATCTGGCACGGGCCACCGGGGCTGCCTGCCTGCCCCTTGGTGCCCTTGGTGCCCTGCAGACCACGCTCTCCCCGGGGACCCTCCCTGCCCAGCTTCCCGGGCATACCCAGCTGGCCTCGGTCTCCTTTGTCACCTGTGGGGACAAGAAGGAGAGAAGTCAGGGGAGGGGAGCACCAGGACCTGAACCAAGGGGGTAACTACATTTGTTTGTAGAGGGCTCTGCCCCTGCCCAGAGGAGAAGCCAGCATTTATTGAGCACCTACTGCATGCCAGGCATCACCCCCCCCCCCTGAATGCCCCTCTAAAGAAGACACCATGACCATCTCCACTCACAGAGAGATTAAGTGACTCGCCCAGGGGCACACAGCTCTGCAGAGGTTTGGTTCAACAGTCTCATTGTATGCACCACACTTGACAGTTTGCAGAGCACTTGCTTCACCCCAGAGGGCTCTGTCGGCCTTGGAGAAGCTGTGACGTGTGAGGTGGTAGGGAAAGGGGGTGAGGAAGAGGGCATCCCCATCCACGAAATCTGAAGGTGGGAGGGCCTCAGATGCCAGCCCTCTCCTGGCTGTGGGATGGAATGGCCCTGTGGAGACCACAGGGACAGATCCTGGCTCCGCCCCTGACAACTGTGACCCCAAGAAAGCTCCTCTCCTCTCAGAGGCTCAATTTCCCCATCTGCAAAGCAGGAAGAATGACAAAGTACAACTTTGGGGTTGCTGTGAGCAGCCAGTCACAGTCCCCAACAGCAGAAGTAGTTTCCTTCAGGTCTGATTTTAGGACACGGAGCCAGCTCTCACCGGCACGGTCCTAGTGGCCTCCCGTAGTTCTTTCTGCATCCACCCTTGTCCCCTGCCATATATTTGCCGCACGATATTAGAGGGATCCATTTGAAACCTAAGTTGGATCAGGTCCCTCCTCTGCTCAAACCCTCCCCTGCTCCCTATCTCACTCAGAGGAGAAGCGCAAGTCTCATCTGGGCCCTGTTTGTCTCCAACCTCAGCTCCTCCCCTTAGCCCTGCTCCTGAAAAACTCCAGGCCCATTCCTACCCCAGAGCCTAGGCACCTGCTGTTCCCTCTGCCTGGAATGCTCTTCCCCAGATACACATGGCTTCTCCCTCACCTTCTCAGTAAGAACTGACCACCCTATTTGATAGGCAACGTAACCCCATACCTGCACTCCCAATGCCCCTTACCCTGCCCCACCTTGTCATTTCCATGGCATTTATCACTATCGAACATTCTGTCTCATTAACTTGGGTAATATGTTCATTGCTCACTGTCTGTCTCCCGCACTACAATGAAAGCTTGATGGCGGTAAGCATCTCTGTCTGATTTGTTCATGCTCAAGCCCCAGAATTTAGAACACTCCTGGCACATAGTAGGTGCTCAATTAATGAGTGAATGAAAGAAAGGATCTGGGACAATTTTCTGTTCTGGTTTCTCCTGCTTCCTCCACCTCACCTCCCCGGCCCAGGAAGAGACCCCATGCCCTCCCTGTCCCCAACCAGGCCAGTCCAGCCCAGGCCACATATGGATACTCACCCTTCAGGATGGTGATGTTAATGTAGGGCCTGACCTCAGGCAACACGTACGGGAGGGCAGACGGAGAGGCCGAGGACACATCTGCATCATCAGCAGCGGCCAGGGCGTCCTCAGAGTCACAGCACCGTCGGCAGTAACCAGGGGTACTGGAGGTCACAGCTTCCCTGGAGGTGGACTCCTCAGTGGGGACCCCAAACACCAAAAGAGGGAGCAGGAGCACTGCGCAGAAGAGGTCTGGGGCAGCTAACCCCATGGTGACCTGGAGCAGGAAAGGAGGGGCAGAAATCATATTTACCTGCACATCTCCGTTGTGCCCAGGCCCAGCGTGGATGCTGCCACCCACACGGATGCTCCTCACACAACTCGGGGAGGAGAGCATCAGTGCCCCCGTTGAACAGACAAGAACTCTGAGGCCTACCCAGGAAAGCAAGGTCTCCAAGGTCACAGAGACCTGTGGCAGGGTAGGGCCTAGAGGCTGAGTCTTCCAGAAGGAACCTATTGGGTTGTCGGAAAAGTCATGATGCATTTTTGCAACGAAAAACATACCAAAAAGTACGCCATGATTTTTCCGACAATCCAATAGTTCCTTGAGGCTCTGCCACACGCGTGGCCCGAAGGAGGACGTCCCTCTGAAGAGAGCCACAGCCAAGAGCACAGGAGGGTCCTGGGACAGGTGAGGAAGATGCCCTAGCTGCCCCTGGATCATAACCACTGAGACCGTCTAATGCTTTTCCCGCCCTCCCACCTCCCTCTGGCTCATTTTCTTGCCACCGACTCCACCATGTCCTACAAGCACATGCCACCGGTGCAGCATGAGAAGGTTAGTAGGCCCTTGGGACAAACACAAAGGACTCTGCAGGCTTGTTCTTTAAGAGCGGGGACACGTGACTGAACCCATGGTCTGACATGTGAGCACCATGGTCCTGATAACGAAAACACGAAAATCCATTTATTCTAGCAGAAAGGTAGCAACGTCCACCCGAGAAAACAGATGCGGTTCTGTGTGGTGTTGGTGTTATTATATTGTTGAGAAGTCAGGAGTAGGTATGCTGAGTCGTGGGCTGCAGGCAACTGCTGGCTTATATACAGTGCCTTTGTGCAAGGTAGGAGAAGGCACCCCTCAGAACAGGCAAATTAGAAACAAAAGAGAATGCACCACTGAGGGTGTGGAGCTTGGCAAGGGCTGGCGTCAGCCCACCTCCCCTCTAGGCATCGGTGTGCATTTAACAACCTACACAACTCAACCTTCCACAGACTCCCTGCAGGGGAAGGCTCAAGAGAGTTCATTCATTGGACAGCGGTTGTGTCAATCATCATAGGTCTGCCAATCAGCTGCCAGGGTGGTAAATTGGACTCAAGGGGCAGGACTAGAAAGTCTGGAAAATTCAAAAGGATCAGAGAAGTCCAAGGGTTTGTGAGGATATGTTTTGCCCTTGACCAAGAAGGGATCCAGAGTTCTTGGAGAGAGGCACGAAGTAGCCTGGACACCAGCAGCTGGAGACAGGCTGGGGGGCTGGGTGGGCAGGAAGCTGGGCGAAGAGCCTTTGAGGTGGCGGCAGTCTGGGGGCTGGTGCCGGGTTATCGCAGCATCAGAAACTCGGCTTTTGAAACCAGACTGGTTTTTACACTTCTGGCGTTTCTTTGTTTATTTCCTTTTGTTCTCCTTTAACATTTAGTACAATTCAAAAATATTTTTCTGTGGTTAATACATGTAGAGTAGGTACAATTATTATTGCTTTAAATGCCATCCTCTCTCTGCCGAGCACTGTAGTAGGAGCTAGGTTTTAAAGGGGCAGGAGCCCTTCCCTGAACACCTCCCCCTCCCTGGGGCTGGGTAGCAGCAGGAGAAGGGAGGGTGCCAGGCAGTCCCTGGGAACCATCACTCCCTCCTGGTGGTGACTATTCCCAGCTCCTCTCTCCCCATCCTGGTCCAGTTTTCTGGTTCTGCCCAATAAGACCGGTCAAAGCCTCCCAGATCAACATCCTCTCTCCAAGATTATCACCCTCACCTTTTATCTGTAAATTACTCATCCCAGTGGTTTTGAGAAAAGCAAAAAAAAAAAAAAAAAAAAAAAAAATCCCCTTTTTCCTGGCCAGAATATGACCTCCTGGGAAAAGGTGAGGTCTTAGAGTCAGACCTGAGATCCCAGAATAGTTTACAGGCTGTGTGACCTAGGACTAGTGGCTTAACCTCTCTGGGCTTCCTACTCCTAGTCACTTACAAGGAGATGATACCACCACCTCCTTCCCAGGCTGTTTGGGAAGATTGCAGGGAAGGTGCCTGTCTAGGAAAAGACTCAATAAAAAGTTTGTTGCTTCCTCCACCCAGCACGACCTCTTTCCAGTGCCTGCCCGGGATAGTGCAAAGAACAGGGAGAGCGGAGCTTCTCTCAGAGGGCTAGCTCAGTTTAATGATATTTCTATTGGCCCCAGACAGATGGGAGTCAAAACCTCTGAGACATGCACTGTGACCTGGGGGGCAGGAAGCAGGAAGCAAGAAGCAAAGCAACCTTTCGACAAAAGTAATAATAAGGACAGCCAGGATCGTTGACTGGCCTTGGGGGAAGAATGCCAGGCAGGGATCCAGTATGAGGGACCATGTCATTGGGAGTGATTTAGGGGTCCCTGCTGCCTCCACTTGGGAGCAGGGACCTCTTTGGGGTCAGGCCCTGCTGTGCAGAGTTGGTATGTGTCCCAGCAGGGGTGGGCACAAGCCAGGAGCAGCTGAGAGCAGCCCTTCTCCAGGGACTAAGGTCTCAGACACAGGAGGGAATGGGGAGGGGAGCGCCTAGAGGGGCTAGCCAGGGTCAGAGGGTTAGAGCTGGGGCCTGAGATGTGCGACGTGTCCCGGAAGAGAGGAGGGAGGAGAGGAATTCCAGACTCTGACCCCAGCCTCCTCGGCCCTGCCGCCCTGCCATGGGAATTGCAGGACCTCCCGTCACTCACCCTGCGTCCTGCAGCCTCGCACCGCGGCTCACGGACCCGGGGCCTCGGGGCGGCCTCTGGCTCCTCGGCCCATGTCTGCAGTAATAACTGGCTGCTGGTCCAGACCCCCAGGCCCCGAGGAGGCAGGAATGGAGGCAGGGCGAGTGGGAGGGAGGGCCGGCCGAGGGAGAGGGCTGAACTGGCTTCCCACTTCCCCTCCTCCCTGCTCCCTCCCCTCCAGCCGCGAGGTTCTCCGGAGATACAGGGAGCTCTGGATTGCCTTTGCTTAACTCTTTGGTGGTCCAGTGGGGTCTTGTTTGATTCAGAGGCCCAATAAAGTCAGAGCCTGAAGGGGTCTGAGGCCCCTGATGTGTTGGCAGGGAAATGGAGGCGGGCAGGAGCCCCTTAAGTTGTTCGGGAAGGGAAAGGCAGCGCTGGAATCCTGTGGCTGGGGTGGGGGTGGGGGCTCCAGCTGAAGCCGAAGAGTGGCGAAGGCACAGGCAGGAATCTAGCAGCCTCAGGTTGAAATCTTGGCACTGCCACGCAGTGGTTAAGTGACACCCTAGGTGTCTGTGGAACGCCAGTCCCCAGCCCCATTCCTGCCAGTCACAGGGGAGGCTCAGTGTAAAGGTTTGTCCAGTGAAGGTATTACCTCCTCAGGTGTTAGGTGAGGGTGCAGCCAGGTCAGAACCCCCACCCCAATAGATGCCAAAGTCCTCCTCCTCATCTGCCTGGAATTGTGCCGTGATTACTTCATCCTCCTGATCTCAGAGCCAATTGCCCTGTGAAAATGGCCCCCAAGAAGTTCACGGGAGGGCACACACAGTCTGTATGTGCCCCTGGGCCTGGGCAGCACCCTGCCTCGCTTTTTTCCAGTTGGGCTGCAGGAGGTTTAGCGAAGGCTGTAGCCTGGTTCTCTGCAGCCAGAGATCCCTGTGGAAAGATTGTCAAATGTCCCTTGCCCTCCAGCACCCTCTCATTCTACATTTGTTGAGTACATTTGCCTCTTCTTTGCAGGGGCTTCTGGTACCCGAATGGTCTTTACATCCATTATTTCAACAAATCACACCCCAGCCTTGGGAAAGGGAGCTGATGTGACTTGCCCAAGGTCACACGGCTAGTGAAGAGGGACCACACCCTACAGAATGGAAATGTTCTCCATCCCACTGGACTTCCCACGATGGCACAATGGGCATGGTTGTGGGCAAAGGCTGCAGTTTGGGGTCTGCCCTCTGGAAAGAGAGAGGTGGTAACATTGCGGCCCTCGGGAGGTGCAGGAGTACAGAGACCTGAGGGGGAATTACTGAAGTCTGGGGCTTCGGACACTAAACCCACCCAGTTCCCACGCACAGCTGGACAAGGTCTGGAAGATAGAACAGCCCGTGTGTCCTTGACCCGCTCTCATCTCGGGGCCTGTTTTCCTATTAGTTTGGGGGATAATAAAAGCACAGAATATCCAGGCCTGGAAGGACCCTTAGAGATGATCTAATCCAGTTCCTTAAGCTGTCCCACAAGGATACTGTGACCCAGGGAGGGCACGTCATTGGCTTAAGGTCACACAGCAGATGGGAGTCCAAGCTGGGATGACAGTCAGACTTCCCAACTTTGTGCTGTGTCCCCCTCCAAAGCCCACCTGGAGCCCCTCCAGGCCTATTTAGGGACCCAAGGGGGCCCAAAGGAAAGCAGATGGAAGGACTACAGCTGCTGGGAAAACTGTCAGGCCACATTGGCTGTGCCCTCTATGTGGCCCTGCCTCAGGCAGCATTTCCAGGGCACAGAGCCATGGCTGCAGAGGGAAGGAGCCAAGGAACGCCACCCCCAACCTCCCCACTCTGCGGCCACTAGGAAAAGGGCCGAGTCAGCAACACTGGAAGGGGAGACAGCTGGCTGTCTCTGGGATCTCCGGCTTAGAAAGCCTAGCATCTGAGGAAAAGGAAAATGGATGGGGGATGGACGCAGGATGGGACAGAGGAATGATTTTGGGAGGGCCTGTTATGTGGCCAGCACTGTGTCCCATGCCTCGTTCCACAGCCCCTCTGCAGAGAAGGCTGCTCATGCCACTTAACAGGTGAGGAAGCTGAGCCCTGGAAAGGCACCTGACTCGCCAGGTTGTAGGGCCAACTCCTTTGGCCCCCAGACACATCGACACCCCAGAAAAGAGCCCCTTGTGCCCCTTGGTCCAGGGCAGGGGGCTAGAGGCAGGGCAGACTGCAGAGCAGGACTCGGAAATGTGATATTTTCCCTCTCACTCTCTCCCATGCCTAAGATCCCTCCGTTTGTGCACCATCCCTTGGTCTCCCAGCCATTCTGACATCTTTCCAGCAGGCCCGGTAGCTTGGAGGCAGCACTCCAGCCCTGGGGCAGAGAAACCTGGGTGACGTCTCAGCTCCAGCTCCTTCTCAGTGTGTGATCTTGGGCACGCCTCTCGTCCTCTGAGCCTCGGTATCTCTGGGCACGAGGCAAAGGCCCTCTGAGCAGCCTGGTGGGACACCCAGTGGGGGTAACTCCCTACCGGCAGTCCATCACTGCTTCTCCCTGAATATGGTGAGCGCATGAGCCCTTTCTCCTCATGCACACAGACGAGGAAAACGAGGCACAAACGCACTGACTCTCAGAACCCAGCTCCTAGCCACCTCCATCTTCAAGCCCGAAGTTGGGAGAAGGTATAAAAATAGTGACGTTTAGTCAATGCTTACAAAGCCCCGGGAACCCTGCGTGTATTTAAAAAACTAAGATATGTGCCTGTCAAAAAGTGAGACAACAGAAAACACGGATTCCTGGAGTCAAATATGCGAGTCGTGAATGCCAAGTCACAGATCCAATTGTTCAAGGACAGTAACCAGTCAAGAAACGAGACGAAGGAAACCGTGAGCGCCACCTCCTGGCCCCCTGTCGCGCCCTGTGATGCTCGCATCCCAGCGGGCACCCACCCCATCCCACCCACGGCCTGTGACGCCCCTACCCGTCCCATCCCCTTCTTAGGAAGCTAAGGGAGTGGGGGAGGGGAAGGAGGCAGACGGGCCCACGGAGACGCGCTAGTGGCGGGCTGGGGCACCACCTCCCTCACTTCTTTCTCCAAACCCCACTCTACGCAGTGGACACAGGGTCCAACCCCACCCTCCCTCTCCTAAGCATGCGCGCTCTGCCAGGCTTCCAGGTTGTACTGCACCCCTCGTTTGACTAGCTGGGTGGACTTCGCTCTCTGGACTCGAGTTTCTCCATCCTGGGCTTTCTGCAACCCATCACAGAGCCACAGTGTTCATCTGAGTTGGGCGACTGATTCCACTTTAAGGAGAAACTGAATCCTCAAGAGGCCAGCGCCATCCCAGCCTCTCTGGACCCTAGTGTTACAGAGGGGGCAACCGAGGCTCAGGAAGCAGGTGCGGCAACTGGCTCCCGCCCCACGGCCAACGAGTGGCAGAGCCGGGATGGAGTCGCCAAGGCGCGTGGGAGGCCAGGAGCCAACCTTCCCTTCCCCTCGACCCACCTCCACTCACGCCCGGGGAGACCCTCCAGCCCCACCCGCTCCGGCCTCAAGTACTGGGAAAAGACGGCCACCGATGGCGACCACGCTCGGCACCACTCGGGTCAGCAAAACCTGAGCCCTGAGACGGCGACACCACCTGGCATGACGGACCAAAGGCCACGGAGGCGGCTTCGGGGGGGGGGGGTCCTCTATCCCGGAAGCCCAAAGCGTGTGCGGGAGGGAGGAGCCGCTGTGGCGCCGGGGCGGGGCCTTTGCACGTCCTGCGCCGAGCGTAGCCGAGCTAAGGCCGGATAAGGCCGATCTTGGCCAAGTAGAGCCGAGTGCTGCCGAGGAAGCCGAGCAGAGCCGAGTCTGGCCGAGCCTAGCGGGTCCAGCCGAACATAGCCGAGCTTGACCGAGTGCAGCCGAATAGAGCCGAGTCCGGCCGACCGGAGAAGCGGGACAGGCGCCACGCGGCGAGGGGGAGGTCCCCGGCGCCCCCTGCCGGACACAGAGCACAGCGCTGGCCTGGGCCGCGGCCAATCCACCGCCTCCTGGTCCTGCAATAGTCCTGTGAGATGGGGGTATGGAGCCCATTTTATGGATGAGGAAACTGAGGCTCCAAGAGGCTCCAAGGCTGGCCCAAAGGCACAGAGAGCTAACAAGTGATGGCGCTTGGCTTTGAACCTGATTGTGTGCCCAAAAGCTCCTGCCACTGTAGTGGGCATTGTGTGTTTATTTTGTCCTCATAATTGCTGCATTTATTATGACCAGAGAGGAGAGACCCGTCCTGTCTGATAAGCAGAAGGAAGGCCAGAGCACAGAGATGTCCCCACCTCGTACAGGTGGAGAAACCAAACAGGCTCTGGACATGTTGACCAAGTGCAGCAGGGACAGCAGTTCTCATGTGCAAATATTGACATATTTCCTGGTCATTAAAGCAGATAGCAGGTCGGAGAGGCCATGTCTGACCACAGGCCTAATTGTCCTCACCTTTAGCAAGATGGCCGTAGAGGACATGAGCTCCTGGCTGCCTGCAAGCCATGTCCCCACGTGCCTGGCCGAGGTCCTCGGGTTGTCTAGACCCTTAACGATGTCAAGTGTGGCCCGGGCACTTTGTTTGAGCCTGCGAAAAAGCAAAGGCTGACTTTGCCCTCCAAGCACACACATGCGCATGAGTGTGTACCCATCATTCACCCCTGTGTGCGCACCGCCCTGGCCTGCCAAGCCCACGGGGGGGTGGCTGGGCCTCTAGGAGGCAACCGAGTTCCCCAGTGGGGCCTGGGCTGCCCCTCATGCCTGTTTGGTCTCACCTGAGGGCATTGTCTGCCACTGCCCAGCGGCCACTAAGGAGCTGGCACCAGTGGCCTCAGAGTTCTCTCCACCCCGAGCATCACTCCTAACACCTGGAACCTTATTTTTGTACTTTAAAAAAACGATAGACTGTACTGGGGGCTAGGAAAATAGGGTTCTTGGTCCTGCCTCTGCTGCTGTGACCCTGGGCAAGTCACATGACCGTCTCAGGCCTCACTGTCTTCAGCTATAAAATGGGTATCATAGTTATTCTCAGGACGTTGAGTGTTTCCCACGCCTCCTTCCCTGTGCACAAACCCCAGTTCCCTCTTTACGCTCAGCTGGACAATAACCCCTCCTGGGGAGACTTTCACCCCGACCCATGGATGGGTTCTTGATTCTGTTAAAGCACTTCTTACATGTATTTAACACATGGCGCTTATAATGTACGGGGCACTGTTCTAAGCTGTTTATAAATATTAACTAATTTAAACCTCCTCACAATAGAAACATCTTCTCTTATTGTCATCTTAGAGAGGAGGAAACAGGCACAGAAAACTTAGTTCACTGGCTCAAGATCAAACAGGTAGTGAATGGATGAGCCGGGATTCAAACCCAGGCAATTCCAGAGTCCAGGGGCTTAACCACTCCCTCATTATCTCCTATCTTGGTTCCTGAAAGACAAGCTGTGTGCATCTCTGCCTTCAGCTTATTGCAGTTGGCAGCTGACCAATAAACCCTTGTTGAATGAAAGAATGAGGAGTTAGTCCATCGTTCCTCTGGAGATGTTTCCGTTTCGCAGATGGGGACTTGTATGCATTTGCTAGGACTGCCGTAACAAAGCACCACAGACTGGGTGGCTTAAGCGACATCCATTTGTTTTCCCTTCTGGAGGCTAGAAGTCCAAGATCAAGGTGTCAGGGAGGTCTGCTTCCTTCTGAGGGCTGTGAGAGAGGGATCTGTGCCCGGCCTCTCTCCCAGCTTCTGGTAGTTTGCAGGCAATTTTTGGCGTTCCTTGGCTTGTGGAAGCATCGCCCCAGCATTTTCCCTGTGTGCAAGCCTATGTCCAAATCGTTGCTTAAGAACATCAGTCATATTGGATTAGGGGCCCACCCTACTCCAGTGTGACCTCATCTTAACTGCTTACATCTGCCATGACCCTGTTTCCAAATAAGATCACGTTCTCCGAGGCACTGGAGGTTAGGATTTCAGCATATGAATTGTGAAGAGGGGTGTAGAGACACAAATCAACCCGCAACAGTAATTAACCTTCTAGGAATCCTGCCTGACACAATCTCTATCCCCGAATTGGGCCTCGCCTCTGCCTTTCTCACTTCCATTCACTGCGTTCCTCCAGCCTCCAGACCTTAGCATGCACAGTTGTGTCTGGCACACTCACGCTCCACCCTCTGCTCCCAGTGCAGCCCCCACCACTGACCCCTCCCCGCAATTATGATCCCCCAGGACAAACTTCACTTCCCTGACCACTGACTAGTGATACATTCACTTGTGAGGCTACCTGTGAGCACCAAGAACATAGGAACCATGTCTGTTTTCCTCCACTGTGCTCCAGCTCAGTGTCAGTGAGTATTCAGGAAAATCTTTATTAACTTAATGAGCTATGCCCAGAGGGGTAAAGTACATGGCCCAAAGCCACACAGTAGGTTCATGGCAGAGTGGGCCTAGGGCCCAGGCCTCCTGATTTTGGGTTCCATGACTTTTAGGAGATGCATGTCCCCCTCAGTGGACTTACCGAGGGTCTCGCCAGAGCCTTCCAGTGACTGGGGAGCACCCTGAGACCTTGCAGGGACAGTGGCCTTGCGTAACTCCAGGGAAAGCCCCTCACATTACAGCCTGGGATGCTCGCCACCGTTAGAGTGTTTACTTCTATGCCTGGAGTCCTGTGGAACCCACGCAGTGACCTCCCCATGGGACAGTGGCCTCCTTGTAGATGAGGAGGGCCTGAGGCCCTGGGGCCTTGGCCACTCCTACCCCAGGCTCTGCAGACTCCTAACTCCTCTCCTCCGATGCTGACGCTGATGCATGAAGTTCTGGTCCAGAGCCTGGTGGCCATAGGTTGTTGCTTGGCAACAGCCTCTGAGAGACAAGTTCAAGGGCAGGTCTTGGGTCTGAGCAACTTGGATGTCTGGAGAGGAGAAGTCAGGCAGAGAGGGTCATCACCACCCCTTCCTGCATGCTTAGCTTCACAACCCCAGAGCCTCCCCTCACCTTACAGCCCCTAAGGTTACCATAACCCACAGATTCCAGCCCCAAACCCCCATACAATGCCCTTCCATCTCGCCTGCTCGTGCCCCCGTTTATGCAGTCACCACGTCGTACAAATCCAAAGGAGGCTAGAGTCACAGTGTGCAAATTGCCCCCCTGGAGCTGTGACATGGAATTCTCCTCATTCATTCATTTATTCCAAATAGTCACATGAAGGCCCCATAGTGCTACCAGGCCTTAGAAATACAGATTCATCGGGCACAGTCCCTGCCTGAAGGGACAAGGCTATCAGGACACCCACACACATGCATACACAAGAGAATGCACAGGCAGTGACACACGGTGTGGTGGGGAATCTTGGGGACTGTGGGATCAGTGGGGCAAGGGGAAGGACCCTGGCCCAGGCACCGTTCCCATGCAGCCTTTAGCCCTCAGCAATCCTCTGCTCCCACCCCATCCACACCTGCCACATGCACAGCAGGCCCTCATTGTTAATGCACCAACATACATTTACTCATGGATAGGGCTTGAGATGTCCTGAGCACATACTGTGCACCCTGCACTGTGTTCACAATCCACCCCACCCCCATTTCGGTTTGCTGTTGTTACTGCCTGTCTTGCCTCCCTTTGCCATTGTAGTCTGTCCCCCACCCACCTCTTATCCCATTGGTCAAGCCAGGCTGTCCATCACAGTGTCCCACCTTCTCCCTCTGCTTGGAAGGATGATGACATGACTCACACCTGGCCAATCATGCCACTTTATCACCTTGTCTTTGGTGATTGGCCCAAGGGGCCACCGTGTGACCTAGTTGGAGCCAATCAACTTTGTTCCATGAGATTTGATGTTTGGACACAGGAAGAGAGTATATCTACTGCTTTTGGATCAAGATCTGTAAGATTGTACAGGCTGAGATTGTACAGGTGCATCTTCCATGTCACCTGGAGGGCTGGAACTCTGGGAGGCTTAGACACACAGAGCTGAGGGACAGACAGAGGGAGCATCCTGATAGAGGTAGACACCCATACACATGCCCATTCATGCACACTGATCTAGACGTACAGCACCTGACAAAGGAATTGGCCCAGGCCGTTGCTATTATCGTGTGTCACCGCCTTTATTGACAAGAGCTAGGGGTAGAAGCAGCAAAGGATTTCCCTAGGGGCCTCCCAGCCGCCCTTGCAGAGCAAGCTCACCTGCCTCAGGAATCAGGAAGGCAGGGCTGGCCATGGAATGCGGGAATGCCAGGGGGCCCTCTTCCTTCAGACCCACAGATCCTCCTGAGGGTAATCCCAGACTGAGGGCTCAGCCTCTAGCCTCCAACCTCCACACAAGGTCTGGTCCCGTGAACTTGCTTCCCCCTGAGGGGGCTGCACACTCTCCAAAGCCCTGCTTCCTGATCCTTGGCTTCTGACCCCCAACTCCCCCTTTATCGTATCCTGAAGTGTCTTCACCCCCAAGGGCTGGACACAGAGAGGTCACTGGATGCAGGAGAAAGGGGTGTAGGTCAAGCCTGGCAGGAGGACCACCTCCACTTTATAATCTGATACACCCTACCCCCACCCATTGCAATGTGCGTGGCAGTTTACCCAGCATGACCCATTTTCTTCCTTAAGTCCCAGGAGGCGGGCAAGCCGGGACAACCACCTCCGTTTTATGATAGGGAAACTGAGGCCCAGAGAGATCAAGGCTAGCCAGGATCCGGAAGTGAGTTGAAGATGTAGATCTCCCAAGTTGTGGTTCATGTGATTTCCCTGAGGACCCTCTGCCCTCTGCGGGTGGAGGGTTGGGGGATTTAGCAAGAGGTGCCACTCTCCCTGGGGCCAGTCTCACTGTTGCTCTAAGGGTTTATCTCTGGGATGGTGTCCAGGCTAGTCCAGGCCTAGCCTTGGACAGTGGCCTCTCCCTACGGTCCCACTCCAGCCTCCTTTTGTCTTCTTTTCCCTGGGCCTTCCCAACCTGTAGCCCTGGAGAATTTAGAGGACAGGAGGCCTGCTCTGGACCTGTCAGACCCTGTTTCTCAGCTCTGCCCTCAGGCTGCCATCAAGACCCAGCGCTTCTCATCAGCACTGGCAGGCCTTTAAGGGGGCTGGCCCTGTGCCTTTCAGAGCATTTGCTTTTCCACCCTGATGGCATCCTTTCCTTGAGACTGGTTGGGCCAGGCATTGGCAACTCAGTTTCATTGATTCAGCTCAAGGTCAAGGATAGCTCAAGGTCAAGGAATAGCTCTGTCTTCCATCCTCCTCCTCCTCCTCTCTCCTCTTCCTCCCACTTCTACCTCTTCCTCCTCCTCTTATCACTTCTCCTCTCAGCACTGTTTAGACCCTCTGCCTTTCCATGCCTGTCTGCCTGGGCCAGGGCCCTGCCTTGGTCACTGGGAAGGGAGAAACAGCAATGATTTCTCCTATGAGGAGGTTCCCAGAGCTCTCAAAGACCCAGAGACTCACCCCCCCACACACACACCCGCTCCCCTCCAGCCACAGGACACAAAGTGAGCTGTTTTGGGGATTGGCTGGCTGGCCTCAAAAGGGGCTGAGCTAGGCTTTGGGTGGCCTAAGCTTATGCAGTTTGGGACCCCTCTTTAAGAAAAGCAATACAAAATTACAAGTACAAAATTTGGTTCAAGCCTTGGAAGGAGCAGTAAGGGACCCTGCAGCTGGACTTAATGAGTTTCCTGGAAAATCCACCTCTTCATTGGTATCCAGGAGCACAGGAGTCCTGGCCTGACTGTCTGGGCCAAGAGGGCCTGGAGGTTTTTGGGTTGTTCAGCAGGTGAGGCCTGCGGCCCAGAGAGAAGAGCTGGCTCAAGGCCTTGCAGCAAGTCGGGGAGAGCTGATGTGGGGCCTAAGCAGTCTCACGCCCCTCCTCTCCGTGGGGTAAGACTTTCTTCTATGAGGAGCCCTGATCCAGCTCTCTGTGAACCTGGGCCCCGGTCCCTTTCCTATGAACCTGACTCTGAGCTCAGGAAACCCAGGCCTTGGTTTATCCCTCTGAGGGCCAAGATTCAGACCCATCCATGAGGATGCTCTGTCTCTGAAGAGGATGGCCAGTCTGCACCTGCTCAGGAAGGTCAGCCCCGTGGCGACGTTCCTCCAGACTTTTACCCAGCAGAGCTCGTCTAGGCCAATTGCTCCCATCCCTGAGTCACAGGGGAGAACACGAGGTCCAGAGAAGGGAAATGGCCTATCTGATGTCACACGGTGAGTCTCAGCAGTAATGGCATCTGACCATCCCAGCATGGGCCCCTGGCACCTGGGGCAGCGTGCCCTAAGCGCATCCACAGCCTCTGCCCTGTCCTCGCGCTACGCTGGCCCTCCACAGCCCCCTACAGACAGCTGATGTGCAGTGTGCCCGACTTCTCCCCAGCTAAGGGCTCTTGGGGTAGGAACTGCTGTTCCTTGCTGGCCACGCGGCTGGGTGACCGCTCTTGCCCGCTGGTGCCAGGCTGTGTGATCTGGCTGACCCGGCCATTCATCTCCTTCCCCTCCCCCTGCTTCCCGGCCCCCTCCTTCCCCCCCTGCTCCCCATCTTCCTCCTCCTCCTCCTCCTCTGTCTTCTCCGGAGGCCCCACAGGGGGCTCCTGGCTGCGCACACGGCGGGAAGGCCGCAGCAGGACCCGGCGGAAGCCCTGCTTGAAGCGGTAGGAGAGGAAGCCATACAGGATGGGGTTGGCACAGCTGTTGGCATAGGGCAGTGCCACCACCAGGAAGTAGAGGCCGAAGAAGGTGGGCTCCTCAGGCAGCGGGCATACCACGTTGACGATGTTGAGCACATAGAAAGGCATCCAGCAGAGGACGAAGAGCACCACCACCGCCACCACCATGCGCGTGACCCTGCGCTCAGAGCGCCGCCGCCGCTGGCACGAGGGTGCCCACACCCGCCTCCCCGCCGAGCGCACCTTGACCACAATGAGCAAGTAGCAGAGGCAGATGACCAGCAGCGGCCCGAAGAAACCCAGCGCGGCCGTGTAGATGATGAAGCCAGCTCGCCAGGCTGCCGCCGGCTCCGGCCACTGCATGTGGCAGGTGCTCATGCCCCGGGGCACACCCGAGAAGACCACCACGGGCAGCACCACCACGGCTGAGGCCACCCACACGGCCGCGCTGACTGTGCGGGCCACAGGCGCTGTGCGCCAGCGGGCCGAGCGGGTGGGATGCACCACCGCTAGGTAGCGGTCCACACTCATGACGGTGAGACAGAAGATGCTGGTGAATTGGTTGATGCCGTCCACAGCCATGACCAGGCGGCACATGAGGGAGCCGAAGGGCCAGTAGGACAGGGCGTTCTGGGCAGCCAGGAAGGGCAGCCCCAGCATGAAGAGCTCATCGGCCAGCGCCAGGTTGAGGATGTAGACGTTGGTGACCGACGAGCTGGCTGTGTGCCGCAGGACCACGTAGATAACCAGCGAGTTGCCCAGCAGGCCCACCACGCAGACCACCAGGTAGACCAGTGGGATCAGGACACCGCTGACGGCTAGCCCGGCCGTGCTCGGGGCCATGGACATGTTTCCCAAGGTGGCATCGAGGGGCCAAGCTGAAGAGGCATTCCCGGGTTCCAAAGTCGTGGGCAGCGATGAAGGATAGCCAGGTGTGTCCATGGCTGCGGGGAGGACCGTCAGCAGCCAGCTATGAGCCTGGAGGAGGGAGGAAGCAACCGGGTCATGGCAGAGGATGGCTTTCTCTCAGCTGCCCCTACCCATCACACTGAACTTGGTGACTTACTGTGCACCCGGACGGAGTTTGGCATGCGCCAGCCCATTCACTGTGCACAGGCCGGCAAGGTAGCCCCATGTCTCAGATGAGATCATTGCGCCTCAGAGAGGTGGAGCGACCCCTCTGTGTCACATAGCTAGGGTGTGGTGTGGGATGCGAGCTTGTCTGGCTCCAGAGGGCAGGGACCAGCGCTAGCCTGTGCTCCACTGTGCCCCTTTGCCTGTGCACAGGGTGAGTACTCCACAAAAGTTCAGTAAAGGAATGAGTTGATCATTCAGGGGCCGATGACAACATAGGCCCTTTCCTGCACACCAGTGCTTTTCAAATATTTCTGATGCCAATGCATTTTACATAGCAACCCAACGAAGTCATAGTTTCATAAAATAACGCTTGCCCTTTCTACATATGATGGCCCCAGTTGGCAGGGGCCCAAGTGAATCACCCACTGCTATAGACTGAAGTGTCCCCCCACCAAATTCATAGGTTGAAATCCTAACCCCCCAATGTGATGGTATTGGGAGGTAAGACCTTTGGGAGGTAATTAGGCCATGAGGGTGGAGCTCTCGTGAATGGGGTTAGTGGCCTTTTAAAGGAGACCCCAGAGAGCCCCCTTGCCCCTTCTGCCCTGTAGGGACACAACGTGAAGATGGCCATCTATGAACCAGGAAGTAGGCCGTCACCAGACACCAAATGTGCCAGCACCTTGATCTTGGACTCCCAGCCTCCAGAACTGTGAGAGATAAATTTCTGTTGTTTTTACATCACCCAGTCTATGGAAATCTGTTATAGCAGCCTGAAAAGAATAAGACACCCACCAACAGGTCTCAGCCCTCACATTTGAAAATCCTGCTGCATACCATAGGTCCTTAACCATGAACCCAGGTCTCTAGATGAACTTCAGAGCATCCATGACCCCCTAAAACTCTGATGAAAGTTAATGTGTTTGTGTCTTTTCTGGGCGGAGTCCAGAGCTTTCATCAGAGTAAGAACCACAGGTTCAGGGGTATCCCCTCCCCCAGGGATCCAAGCCCTTGGAGACCCTCTCAGCCTGGCCCATCCCACTGCGAGCTGCCCACAAAGCCCTGCCCAGGATGACTGGCTGTGAACCTGCTGGGGGGTGAGTGGCTGGGACCCTTCCTCCCCCCAGCGGGAGACTTGTGATGGAGAAATTCACAGCACACTGGAGGTAGGCACAAGAACAGCCGCTTGCCCCCGCACCGGCAGGCCAGGCTTCCCTGAGAAGAGCACATTTCAGATGGGTCTTGAAGTGTGAGTAAGAGAATGCCTGATGCACAATGGGAAGCTGCGTCCCCACTTACATTCTCAGCACCTTTCTTATCCCCATGCACGTCGAGGACTCCTCCTGGCTCTCCTGCTAGACTCGACTCTCCTTCAGTGTGGAGACGCTCTTATTCAGCTTTGAACCTTTCCCCCGTCCCCCACCTGTCCCTTTCACACAAGAATAAGCTCTGCATCAGTGTTTGAGGCATCGAATGAATCAGAGGAACCAGAGTGGACAAATCTTAATGCAAAGGTGGGATGAATTGCTGGTAGTGTAAATTCAGGCCCCGCTGGGAAAGGCCCCGCTACCTCAGGATTTGCTAGCGTCTCTCCGCGGGATTTCCTGGCTCTCAGGAGGCCCAGTTAGAGGCTAGGGCTGAAATCCGGAGTCTCCTTTGAGCCCAGACCTCCCCACTTCTTCCTAACAATCTCCCCCCATACTCAATATCTCCCTGCCATTCCACACTGAGCTTGAAATGCCTCCAGAGGGAACTGGGGACCGCATTGCCCTATCAGGACATCGCTTTTGAGATGCAAAGCTCCTGGAAAGGGAAGGTACCCCAACTCAGAGCAAAGACCTCTGGGTGGGCAAGTATGCCTGGGTGCCCCTGCCCAATAACCTGGGGCTTCCAAGGGCTCTGAGCACCAGGCAAGCGATGCTGAGCATGGCAAAGAAACTCTTGACTGTGGCTCATCCTAATGATACCCCAGGTTGGCTGGGCTCAGAGTACCCCCACTTCCTGTTCCTCTAAGCTTGGAGAGCAACTCTTATACTGTCCTCAAGCCATCCATCACCCCAGACCTTCATCAGCTCTCCTGAGCCTGGGACAGTGGCACTAACAGAGAGGCTATCTGGACAGCGAGCTCATGGGGTCCTAACAGTGCTGCCAGCTCCTTGTCACTGATCCTGATTGCCAGGTTCCAGACTAAGCTGCTGACATGCTGCATCTTACAGGGTCTTATGAGGAAGGCACTAGTGTCTGTCATTGCCACTGTACAGACAGGGAACAAAGGCGAGGCCACATGCTCTGGTCACATAGCTAGGAAGGGGCAGAGCTGGGGAGACCCTTAAAGCCATTTCCCCATCCACCTCCAACTCACAAGCCGACAGAATGAGGCCAAGCATGGGAGACGCACTCGCCTAAGCGTCACAGCTGCTCAGGGCACCCAGCTGACATCCAGCTCTCCCACCAGCCTATTCAGAGCTCTCCTTGCTTGAACCATTAGAGTCATGGACTCAAATCCCTAGACTCTTGGAGACCTAAAAATAGAATTTTAGATTCTTCGAACTGAGTTGCAGAGCCATAGATTTTTAGACCTCATGTCCTTGAATCAGAGAATATTAAAGTTCCAGAATGACAGAATTAGCCCTTTTTAGACCTGAAATTGTGGAATCCGGGACCTTAGAGTCCTGGCTTCCTCGGCCAGGGAGCCCTAAGTCACCCATCCATCCACCTTGTCTCGCTGTGCACAGATCCTCTTTATAGCATCCCCACAGGGTGGCCAAATCCAGCCCTAGCGCTGGAGGAGGAAGGAACAGTGAGCTAGCAAACCTGATCGCCAGGCTGTGGGGACAGATATCCCCTCAGGGAAGCCTGGAGGTGAGCTCCCAGAACAGCACCCCTCCTACTGGAGCCCATACACGTGCACCCCCACACACAAGCACACATGGCCCTGGTGGGAACCCAGCAGACCCACCAAGCCCTGCCTTTGTCCCAGCCCCTCCAAGAGCCCCGGCTCTCCCCCACAGATGCCCTGCCCCCACCCTTACCTGGGTCCATCTTCCCTATCAAAGTTCAAGGGGTCAGGGTGCCAAAAGCAGGGAAGTGACATTTTTCCGTAGGCGTCAGCCAGACCTGCAATTTGGATGCCACCTTTTCTTTAAGAAGCTGGCATCCTGTGCATGATCTAGTTCATCCTGGGGGAGGAAGCACTCTTCCTCCCTGTCTGGTTTATCTTTGGCACGAGCTTGCCTGAAAGCTGGGGGCGGACTCCTCAGAGGACTGTTAGGGAGGGGATGGAGGCCCAGGGAGAGCGAGTGGCTGCCCTGAGCCCCACCGCAATTCAGGATGGCACCTCAGCGATACCAGACACCCCAATGGTTCTCCATGTGTCTGTCCCCCAGCCCCACACACCCCCACACACCCTGTTCCCCTCTAGAGTGCTAGCTCTCAGGTGCAGGGACCCTGAGCTATTTATCTCTTTAACCCGAGCGCCTAGCTCAATACCCAGAACATCAAGAAATGTGGATGGACAGACCAAGAAGTTCAGCGGGTAGAGCTCCAAGTGAGCTGAGGTGTTGCTCCTGGGCAGAGGCCTCAAACTCACATCATGAAATCCTTACAGAGACCATGAGGGAGGGTTTTTAGAGAGGAGGAAGTTGAGGCTCAGAGAGGTTCAGTAAGTTGCACAAGGTCACTCAGCTGGTGAGTGGGAGATCAGAATTCAAACCAACCTCTGCCTCCTCCTAAACAAACCATCAGTACCTCCTGGCCCTGCCGAGAGGAATCGGACTGGGACAGCCCTTGACAATGCAGGCTGATGGCTGACTCTGCATTCTGCTTGCCCTCTGCTCCCCCGGGCCTTCCCCCAAGAGACCCAGATTGTACTAATCAGTGCTGACTGACTCACTCCCACCCCAGGCCTGGGATCTGAACCCCAGCGACACACCCACAAACCCTAGGTTGGGGGCTTGGGCTCTGCCACAGAGCGATGATGCCAAATTGCTGTGTGACCTTGGGCAAGTCATGTCTCTCCTCTGGACCTTAGTTTCTCCTATTAAAATGCAGACAAGCGTACCCACCTCCCAGGTTTGCTGTAAAGATTACATGGGAATATGCTGAGCACAGTGCCCAGCATAGTCAGAGAGCTCAGTCAGGAAGGCTGGCACATGAGCCGAGGAGGCCAAGCGACATGATGCATCTGGTTTCTTCCAGCTCTGACACTGTTGTGCTGTGATTCCAAGATTCTAGAATCATGGCACGAAATTCCAAGATTAATGTCCCCCCAACCCCTGCAGCCCACCAAGAGGTCACAGGAGAACCTTCCTCCCTGGGCCTTCCCACCCTCTCCCAGCCCCCAGTCCCAGCCTCCCAAGTTCTTCCTGGGCAGAGGGGAGACTCCAGGACACCACCCTCCAGGACTCCACCCCAGCCCCAGCCTCCTTACCTGCCCGTGAGGTGAGGGCTCCCCTCCTTGCTGTCAAGCTGGTTATCATTCTGCTGCCTACTCTCCCTGCCTGGTCCCCAGGTGCCCGCAGAGCACCCCTTAGCCGGGACCCCCACACAGTGCCCACTTCTATACCGTTTGCGGCCCAGGCCCCCTCTCTTCCCACAGCGCCTCTCCCATCTGGTCTCCGGCCCTGACTTCCCACCGGCGCCTGGTGCGTCACCCCCCATCTCCAGGACTCATCCTGGAGGGTAGGGGCACAGATGGGGGGGGTCTGCAAGCGGGAGCCCAGGGTCAGAGTGGAGGAAGAAACCTCCCAAGGAAAGAAGAGAAATGGGGACCAGGGGACTGTAAGGAGCCAATAGAGATAGAGGGAAAAGGGGTGTCAGTCGGAGGTGGAGAGAGAGAGAGAGAGAGAGAGAGAGAGAGAGAGAGAGAGAGAGAGAGAGAGAGGGAGAGGACAGTGAGTGGGTGGAAAGCCAGAATGAGGGGGAGTGATGCGAAATGCGTGACAGGGAGAAGAGGAGGAGGAAGAGCGAGAGAAGGGGCAAGAGGGAGAGATGCGGAGAGAGAGGCAGGAATAGAGAGCGAGGAAGAAGGAGGGGGTGGCGGGGAGGGTGACAGAGAAGGATTGTGCCACAGATGGTGACATGGAGAGCCTGGGAAGGAGGGAGCAGGAATGGGGGTGAGGGAGGGGCTGGAGAGCAGGTGCTGGGGTGATGGAGGAGGGGCAGTAGGGGAGGGGAGGAGGCTGGGGGTGGGGGGCAGGCTGTTACCGGGGAGATTTCAGCCACCCACGCTGGCCTTGGCTCCCGCAGGGGGTTGAGAGAAGAGTGTGGTGCTCAGAGGAGCTGGGGGCCAGAGCCAGGGGCCAGACACCACCCCCCAGACCACCATGGCGCCCCGCCCCCCCAGGGCGACAGCTGGGTCCAGAGGCAAGGTGGGTGTGGGGTTGAGCAGTACCACCAAGAGGGCTGGGAGCTTGGGGTGAGCACTGCACTGGGAGTCCAAAGTCCTACTCACCAGCCACAGGCTAGACACCAGCTACAGAGGAAGGCCAGTGGGGGTCGTCTGTCCTGAGACCAGCTGAGTCTGGAGAGCACCAGGCAGGGTGAGGCGGGAAGCACAGGGTAAACAGTAAACGCTGCAGACCCTGAGGGCCAGGTGGCAAAATCAAAGATGTGATACAGGAGAAAACAGATGTCCACTCTTTGTAAATTGACAAAATTCAAAATAGAATACTAATAGTTGAGAACGTGCTTTTGTCATACAGGCCGACTGCTGAGAATAGAATTCTTTTGTGGGGGATAACATTTGGCTTAATTAGAATTCAGAGTTAGTATTTCCCATCATCAAATCAGTTGCAAGTGGTCATCTGTAAAATCCATTCTTACCTGGCAGGCTGTGTACAAGCGGGTGGCGGCAGGTTCGGCCCCTGAGTCTAAGATGCCCTGCCTCGGGCCTGAGCACAGGCCTGGCTGTCCCCGACACCGCGCCCCGGCATGTGCTGACTGGCCACGTGACCTTGGGCAAGTCGACCCCTCTCTGGGCCTCCGTTTCCTCATCTGGATCATGGGAGGTTAGACTAAATCAATCTTAAGGGCCTTTTTCAACGGGAGCATTACAAACGCCTAAGGGTCAATTAGTAATGGAGGCGATTTTTGTTAATAGCCACGGCTTCACGCACATTGTCCACCACACCCACCTTGGTAAGCAGAGTTAGTGCATCCAGGTTACAAATAAGGAAGCCGGGGATCAGAAAGGGAGAGCAGTTCACTCAGATCACACCGCCGGGGAGTGGAGAAGCCCAACAGCCTGTGCCAAAGGTGTGTTCTCAAGCACCTTGCCACCAAGCGGCCCGACCCCTTCGCAGGAGGGCAAGGGCGTAGCTGTCAGAGAAGGGCAGGAAGAAGGAAATGAGTCTGTAATGAGCATCTGCTGTGTGCCAGGCACCATCCAGGCCCCATTCCTCAGGACCAGGGCTGCATCTACTTGGTCACTAGTTTCCCAGCTGGTATGTAGTAGGTCCTCAAAGAGCCAGAAATCCAGTTCTTCCAGAAGTGCCATCCTGGCTGCTGCAACACACAGTGGGACCCAGGACACATCTGCTTGAGCCTGGAGTCCCCAGCCTCTTGACGCTGTCCTTCCACTCGTCATGGGGGCCTGGGGCGAAGCCCTTCTTCCAGGCCTCAGTCTCCTGTCTGTACAAGTTCATGAGGAGTAGGAGAGCTCTGAGGCAGCTCCTGGGAGTAAAGTGTGTGGGGGGGGTTCCGGGCACCGGGCACTGCCCCTCCCCGCCTCCCCACCCCAGGCCTCCTGTGGCTTCACCCACCAGGCTTTACACCATCCCAGCCTTGCCACCTGCCCCTATCTCCTCCCTCTGCTGATTTCCCTTGCCTACCTGTGGTCCAGGCACACCCAGCCTCATTCATTCATTCATTCATTCATTCATTCAGTCAGTCAGTCTTTCATTCGCCATTAGAAGGGTGAGCTCAGAAGGCCTCTCTGAAGCAGTGAAAGGGGCGTCTGCGCTGCGGTGGGGACAAGCTTGTGTGTTTGAAGGGTAGGGAGGAGACTGGCGTGGCTGGAAAGGAGGAAGGCAGGGGAGGCCACCATGTTAGACTGTCGTCTCAGTCTGGTTGGGTCAGAGCGTCACAGGGTGTGAGCAGAGCAGTTGGTGACCTGATTCATGGTTTTCAAGGCTCACCAGTCAGGAACCAGTGAGTGTGGGTTCTCCTCAGGGCCTTTGCACAGGCTGTTCCAGCATCCCCCCGCCCCCACCCCACGCGCATGCATACACACACACACACACACACACACACACACACTCTGTCTCACATCACCCCATCCCCGCATGTGAGACGAAGTCCTCCTTCAGGGGGCCTCCTCCTGGAGCCTTCCCTGCCCTGGGTTAACTAGGCCCCTCCCCTAGACTTCCCAGAGCTCCACCCCCACGTGGCCTCGAATCTGAGCTCATCAAGACTCAGCTCAGGGGGGCTGTGTCCTCTGTGCTGGTCTGTGAGCTCTGGAAGGGAAGACTCTGTGTGGGTCCTCACTGTGTCTCCAGGCCTGGCATCAGCCTGGCACAGTAGGCATTTGCTGCATGTCTAATGAGGAAAAAAGGATCTATGGGTGGTTAGCAGGCAGGATAGTGGGAGGAGGAGAGACTGCCCTGCTGAGCATCTGCTGGAAGCTGGGGAGGTGGTGAGGGGCTCTGAGCACCAGGCTAGGGGTAGGTGTGACCTGAGTTAAACACGATACAACTCCCAGCCAGGGGCCTTCCAGGAGCAGAAGGAACCCCCATTAGCCCCTCCTCCTGGGAGCAGCAGCGCAGAAAGAGGAGGTGCTACTCTACACCTGTGAGCTTTGGGGGTCAGGGGGATGCTGGGTGTCTGGGAACGGTGGGGAGGCCCCGCCCTGCTTGGCATTGAGTTCCTGGAGTGTGAGTGCCTCTAACCTCTGGCCTGAACCCGGCACTTGAGTGTTGTCATGTCTGCCTGGTAACCTGGAGGGTCTGCCTGGCCTGACTCCCCAAGATAAGACAATGTTATGTCTCTCCCATCACACCCTGGCTTCCTCAAATCTGGGCCATGTCTCCATCCTCAGACTGGAGGGTTCTCCAAACGTAGCAAGTGTGCCTCCACCATCAGACAGGTGGTTTTCCAGGAGTTGGAGCCCAGGCTCCTCCCATCCCTGAACGCCAGGACAGAGCCTCCTTTTCCCTCCTCTCCCCTGCAAAATGCCTAGGCCAGAGCCAACCACAGTGCAGAATGGGGGCCTCCACTACAGATGCTGAGGTTTGTCCTCTCAAATAAGACGAGATGAGCCAAAATGCTTTTCCAGTCCAGCTCCTGGGGCTTTGTCACTGGAGTCCCCACTAAAGGTGTCCTCTGGTTCATCAGTCCCTGCTGGGTCCTACTGGCTTTGCCATTTATTAGCTGTGTGACCTTGGATCTGTGACTTACCCTCTCTGAGCCTTAGTCCCCCATTTTAAATACCTACTACATAGGGTTGCTGCAAGGATGGAATCACTTAACTTCCTTCTACAGCAGCAGTTCCCAGGGGGCACTACTCCATGTTTCTCTTACACCCTCTGAGCCAGCGGGCTTATCAGAGTATGTACTTTCCTGAGCACAAGAGAGCATGACCAAGGGCACAGACACACTCAGGCCTCTCCTTGTGATACATATGCTAACAACCCACTGGCCAAAAGCAAGTCACATGGCCAAGGCCAGCTTCAGTGGAGAGAGAAGTACGCTCCTCCCCTGGTGGGTGTGTGTTGGGAGGGAGTGATACCTGTTAAGCATCATCAAATCTACGACACCCCGAATAATCAGTCTAGGGCCCCACCCCTGCCTACTCAGTAGCCAGTGGCCTTGGGTCCAGAGCTCTCTGGCTGGATTTTTCCTGCCCGGGTTAGGAAGAAATGGTCACCTGGCTTCAAAGTGCAGAGAGGAAGACTTGGACTCTAACAGCTCCTTAAACAGACTTGCAAACAAGACCCCTGCTTTCAGCCTCCTGCCTTGGCGCCTGTGGTGTCTGGGTCCCCTCCTTGGGAGCCTCCCTGGGGCTCTGCAAGGCCAGTTAATTTGCATTTCTTCCATCTCCCAACCTCCCCGCCCACCTCATCATGGAACAGCAGGCAGTTAGGTTTGCCTTTCTGGGGGCTCTGTTAAATCATTTACCACACCTCCAATCTTCTCTTCTGCCTGGCTGCTGTAGTTTGGGGTCACAGGTGTCTCCTGGTTCCTTTGAAGATGAGAGTTTGTGTTTCTGTTTCATGTTCTCCTTATTTTCGTGGCTGCTTTTCAGCAAGGTGGGGGAAGCGGAACCCTCTCTACCTCGGCACCCTGAGACCAGTCTCTTCCTTTCTATATTGAATACACTTCTGTGGTGTGTGGCTCGAACCACATGGCTGGTGTTGGCTTACACATCTGTCTCTTCCACTGGCCTCTGAGCCCCTGGGGAGCAGAGGGCTAGGTCTCACCTCGCTCTTCACCTCCAGGTCCTGGCAACGTTTGGCACAGACAGCATGGTTGGTGCATGAGAACAGAATTGAGTCGAACTTCAGATTATACAGATGACTGCTCACTGTGTCACCTTCCTTGAGGCTTTCAGGATCTTCTAGAACCATCCTAGCTCTCCGTCTCCCTCCACAGAGCCTACCGTGCCCTGCCCCCCATATCCCATGAGGCCTGGCTGGAGTCAAATGTTCCCAGTGCTGAACATTTCTTGGGCATAGTGGGAGTACAGAGGGTAGGGAGGAGAGGGAAAAGATAGCAGGAACTTAGGTCCCGAAAAGTCAGTAAAAACTGTTGTTGGAAAATTGTTTTGGTACACCATTTTATCATCTCTTATGGCTCTGTGGGTGGCTGGGCTCAGTTGGGTGGTTCTTTGGCTCCACATGATGTTGGCTGGGGCTGCAGTCATCCAGGGACTTGACTGGGCTAGCACGTCCAAGATGTCTCATGCCCATGACTGGCGAGCATGGCTGGAAGGCTGGGCTCAGTGGCATCACTGGGAGGGTTGGGTGTCTCCCTCTCCATTAAAGTTCATCCTTTCATCTGCTTATTCATTTACGTTAACAACAAACATTTATCCAGCATCTACCAGGGACTTGCTAGGGTCATGGTGAGCCGTCCAAGCAGAAGGGACAATTTACTGGGCTCTCTGAAGACTTGGCAGCTCCCCATTGGGCTGTGAGCTCCTAAGAGCAGGCCCACGCTTGACCCACTCCCAAATCCTGTGTTTGGCCCACAGTCTCAATAACTGTTTGCTGAATGATTACATGATTGAATGAATCGATGCTGTATAAGCATTCTTGAAGGCAACAGGAAGGAGTCCATTGCGGCATCTGAGTGGCAAATTACGTTTGTAAATGAGGAAGATCCTCCCAGGTTGCCTGGTGGAGGCCGGAGTATAACCAGAGGGAGCGGAGGCCAGAGAGGCAGCTGTGACTACTGCCCAGGGAAGAGATGTAAGCCCTGGAGCAGGGAGTGGCAGTGGGCCCGAGAAGGAGATGGGTTAACAGGTCTGGGGAGGCAGACTTCTCCAGGCTTGGTGACCAGTGAATGCTGGGTTGAGGGAATGTGGGGAGCCAGGGGGACCCCCAGGCCTCTGCTTTGCAAGAAGAAACAAGGAGAAGCCAGGCTCCAAGATGGGGAGTCCCAAATGAAGTAGTCTTATCTGGCTGGTGCTTTCCTGCCTGCCAGGTAATGACTGCATGGCAAGGGGCCAAGTCTAGCTGGGTGGGTGGGTGCTCAGGAGTGGTTGCTGTCGAATGAGTGAGCATCACCATGTTGTCAGCTCCTGCCCACAACCAACAGTTCTTCCTGTTTCGACACACGTTACTCTTTCCTATCCTCGGCCAATTTGCAGAGCAGAAACAAGTGACTCACTCCATGCCCAGGAACTGCTGGGCACAATGATATGTTGAAAAGAGCACAAGGCTAGGAGTCTTAAGACCTCAGTTACAAACGCCGTCAGCTAACAGCAACAGAAGTCCTGACCCACGGCGAGTAAACAAATAGGTAGTTTCATGTTCATTTTGTTGGCATTTTCAAGCCATTGGCATTGGTTCAGCTGCCCACCAAAGCTGTCAAAGATCCAGGCTCCTTTTATCGTTCTATTCCTCTATTCTTAGCATGTTAGCGTGTATCTACATGCTTGTGCTTCAAGTTTGTAAGATGGCTGCTACAGCTCCAGACATCTCATTAGTATTCAAGGCAGGGAAGGGGACAAGACAAAAGGCAGCGTCAGCTGGGTCTATCATTTTTTATGGAAGAAAACAAAAACTTTCACAGGTGCCACCTCTCCAGCTGACTTTCACTTATGTCTTGTTGGACAGAACTGTGCGATCTTGGAACCCCCAGCTGCAAAGCAGGCTGGGAAAACAAGTGTTTTTGTCTGGGACTAGATACATTACTGCTTTGCACAAAACTAGGAGTGTATTAGCAAGGAGGATGGGTGTAATGGTAGAGGGTGGAAAACAGAGTATTGCCTTAGTGGGTTGAGCTCTAACTCCTGTGCCCTCCTGTGTCTTTATTTCCTTCTCTGCAAAAAAAGAGCTGTTTGTACCTATGTTGGAAGGCTACTAGGGGGATTAAATGAGATAATATGTGTTAGGTGAGACCCCCGCAATGGAGAGAGAGTTTATTTACTGATGTTATTATTGAAATAAAGCAAGGACAGTGTCCCCTGGGGTAGGTTTAGGAGAAGCCCACCCTTGGCATGCAGGGAAGTCCGAGGAGCAGAGGAAATTATTCTAGGAAAGGGGACCAGAACAGCTGTGCAAAGTCCTCAGAGTGAAACAAGCGTGCATGTGGCTTTGAGGAAATGAGAGTTCAGTCTGACAGTGGAGGTGAGAGTGCAGGAGAGAGGGAGGCGGGGTGTGGCCAGGCCTTTGAGGCCATGGACCTCTAGACCTAAGAAGAGCAGGGAGCGGAAAGAGACTCCCCTGGGGCTCTGGTCAGCCGGAGGGGGCACCTCAGGGCTTTTAAACATTGAACAGATTCGGATTCGGGTGTGGGCTCTGACCCACCACATCTGTGTTTGTGTCATGTATGTGTTGGTTTTAATGTGTTTTTTGTTTGTTTCGTAGGAGAAGTAACTTTTAAGCCATAACAGACTTATCTGAGCTAAATGTAATAAAGGCCGTGGGGTTCCATCCCCACCCCAACCCCCTCCCAGTCCCGTCCAAGAGGGTGAGGGTTCTGGGAGCCAGTGGGCCAGAAGGTCCTGCCCTAGAAGTTCAAGACTTTGGGGGCGGGGGTGGGAGGGTGGCTGGGACTCTGGGAGAGGAGAAAACAGAAACCCAAAGCATTTCACTAGCTGGGAATTGGGGGACTTCTGAGCTGTCAGGGACAAGGGACAGGTCTTATATCTTTTTTTATCCCTTTATTTTCGCCTCTCTAGAGTGTCAGCTCTCTAGGTGAGGAACTCATGTGCATCACTGAATCCCACACCTGGGTACCACCTGCCCCCAGCCTAGAGCAGTACCTGGCACAGAGTGGGTGCTCAATAACTGTGTGTTGAATGAATGGATGAAGTTTAGATAGAGACATGTAATCGTCTACCGGAATGGAAAGTCTGGCATTTGTATTGTAAATTGGGAAACACTAAGGTGACTAACTCCATACCAGGAACCGCTGTGCTTTTTGGGTGAACGTCTTAAATCTTCGTAACAGCCCTATCTCTTTTTTAAAGAAGCTCACCTTTATTTAGTGTCGGCTGGAACTGGCATTGCTTCCTTACACTGTTGGAACACTTTCCTGTGACCTCCAGAGGTAGAGGTGGGGATTTCTGGATGCCCAACATCCATATTCCCAAATTCCAGCAAGCTTCTGGGTCTCCATTTGGGGACCAAGCCCTCTGCCCTGTTGTGTGTGATCTGTCAGGGTTGTCTCCACTCCTTGCTCTTAGCTGGCAAGTAGTCCCCGCCTGGCCAATCAGGACATAGCATTTCCCTGCCAAATATGATTGGTTGAAAGGGTCCAATCACACTAAACCTTAATTAGATCTTTGCCTGGGCAAACCCTCTTTTTTTTTTTTTTTCCTTTTTTTTTGCTGAACTTGAACCTGGAAGAGTCACCTTCCTGAGAATGAATCAGAGCAAAGAGGTACAGGAAAGTGAGCCCTGCTGACATTGTTTGAGCCCCCTGATCATGCGGTACCTGAAGTCATGATAGTTCCAAACTTGAGTCAATAAATTTATTTTCTGCTTAAGCAGGTTGAATTGGGTTTTCTGTTTGCAGTAGCCAAAGTCCTGACTGGTAGGGTCTGAAAGTATAAGACTCTCACAGGAAAATGCAGCTCAGGATCCTGTGAGTGGAGAAGAAAGACTTGAGAGATGGCAGCAGTCAGCTGGACCCAGGCTTTTGATTGGCTGGGCAGATGCCCACAGAGATTCAGAAAATCTGGGTTGTTTTTATCTTGTCTCAAAAGAAGCACTAAAACCAGAGGGACAAACTTCTGGGACCCTCGTTTTAGCTCAGTAGGAGAACTTCCAGACAAGCCGGGGCCATCACTATTGGAATAGACTGTCTCAGTAGGGGGTAAGAAACCCGTTTCTGAAAGTATACAAGTGGTGGCCAACAACCATCTTGCCCAACGTTTCCAGGGGGAATTCAGACGTCCTGTGAGATGGGAGTAAATGGGTAGACGCTGCCATGTGGCAGCTGACATTGACCGCAGTAACGCAGGGGTGGCTTATTAGGTCCTGGGGCTCCCCCTCTTGCCCCTGGGAAGGCAGTAGCATGAGGGGATCGGGATGCAGCACCTACAAATTCACACCTTCAGGCCCAAGGGGCCTCCAGCACAGAGAAGACGATCAACCAAGCTCTGCAACCATTTGCTAAGAAACGCCACAGGGAGGGGACAGCATGGCCAGCCAGGATGCCATCATGCTTTGAGTGGGGCCCTGGAGGGTAGAACTATCTGGCTGGGAGGACTGGCTGCAACCTGGAAAGGAGACAGGCAGGAGGTGAGAATTTGGGGAAAAGCAAGATCTACAGCCAACTTTCCTGGCTGACGGTGCATTCCCACCTCCCAGCTTTTGCTCAAGGTTGCCCCTCCCACCGGGACTGCCCTCCCTGCTCGTCAGGCCACACCAAGTATTCTCCATCCTTCTGCTCCAACAGTCTCAGCTAGGTCTTCCCTGCCTCCACCCCTATATGTGGGTGTCAGGTCTCCCTGGCTGGACTGGGCCCTCCTAGGGACAGGGGCTGAGGCATCATTCCACCCCTTATCTTCCCTCCCTCCTGCAGGGCCTGCAGCGTGGGAACTCAGTGACACCCACCCCTTGGCTCAGGTTCCCTGGCATTTTTTTTTCATACCTTGCACCTTCCTTCTGGGAACTGGGCTTACTGGGCTGGACTGGCTCAGGTAAATGGGGAAACTGAGGCCACTTCACTACCCACCCCACCCCCATCCTGGCCTAAATGCCACTCCCAGTGAAAACCGAGGGCCACCGAGCAGTGGCTGGATGCCACCTCCCAGCTAGAGCTTGCTGTGTGGTGCTGGTGTGGGATGGAGGGGGTCTTGAAGCCATGGAGGAGAGGCTCTTACCCCTAGAGGATGCTGCAGGGGCGCTTCTGCGGCCGCGTGGGCTGGGGACACAGGACGGCCCGGATCGCCTCGTCGAAGACGGTTTTGAGGCCTCTCTGGGTGAGGGCCGAGCACTCCAGGTATTTCACTGAGTCTGGGGTGAGGCAGCAAGAGGGCAGAGGCCTAGGTCAGGGGAGGGTCCTAGGCAAAACCGCTTCCCAAGCTGCACAGCTGCACCAGGCTGTGGGGGCCACCTGGGCTGTCACTCAGAGCAGGGAATTCACCTCTCTGTGCCTCAGTTTCCTCAGGTCTGAAATGGGGAGCTTGAATTCAGTGGGGGGGGGGGTTTAAGACCCACAAGAGTAGGTCTGTGTCTTTCTTGGAAAAATAAGCCCTTAATTTACGGAAGGCAGGCAGGCAGCTTTATACTTTCCTGGGAAGAAAAGGGCTTGACCTAGTGACCAAATCTCTCCACACCTTAGTTTCTTCTAGAAAATAGCCACAAACCTGCCTCCATGCTTTGCCCACTCACCAGGACCTTCCAAATTTCATCTGCCTGTTCCTTAGCGTCATCCCATTTTATAGATGAGAAAACTGAGGTTCCTAGAGGTGAGGCTGCTTGTCCAAGGTCACCCACTGGACCTTTCTCCTCCACCTCTGGGCAGCTGTGGGCACTCAGCAAGAGGAATGGGACTTGGAGAGCCCCTCTTTCCCTCATAAGGAGACCGGCCTCCTCCCACGTGACCACTCAGGGCGGGAGCCTGGGGCACAGACAGTGACAAGGGCAGGCTGAGCCCCCACTCCCAGGGCCAGCGATCCATGACCTCTGAAAGGAACCTGTGCGAGTTCCATGTCCACTACAACCCAGTTTCCCTGAAGTGAGGAACCGCAAACCTCTTCTTCAAGAGGCCTGAGGCCGATTTCAGAAACAAGAGGAAAGAGAGTACCAGGAAGGCGGAATTTCGCCTCCTCACTGGGGAAGCCCGCTCTTCCCGGGAAAGGAAGGACACGGACACTCATGGGCACCTGCTCCCTGCCAGGCACCCAGCTGGGCGCTTCCAAAAACCCTATGAAGACATACTGTGATTCCCCACTTCCCAGGTGAGGAAACAGACCCAGAGAGGGGAAGCCACAGGCCCAGAAACACACAGCAGTGGGGAGGGGAGCCAGGATTTCAGGAGGGGCAGCGCCTAGAAAGGGGAAGCCCACCAATGCTCCGGGCTGGGGAGAAAAGGAGGGCGGGGCCGGGGTGAGGGAAACTGAGGCTCAGGGAGGATATCACTTGCCCAGTCACCCACTAGATGCTCCCCTCCACGTGGGAGCACACTCCCTCCAGCGAGCCTGGCTTCCAGGAACGGAGCACCCTGAGGTCGGTCCAGGAATCTGGTCACCATAACCTTCTGTGCCTAGAAGTGTGTCACTGGGCATTTGGCTACTGTTTCTCTGCCAGGGACCATAGCCAATGTCCACCTCGCCTCTACCCAGCTGTCTCCCGGGCACCCACTGCCCTCTTGCTCGTCTTAGCTCAGTGGTATCCAATGCCAGGGCCCTGAGCTGGGGGGCCTGGGCTTGCTTCAGCTCTGCCTCTGTCCAGTCTAGGACTTTTTGCCAGTCCTCCTCTCTGCACCTCAGTCTCCCACCTGTCTCAGACATGGTGACGTGTGGTAGCTTATAAAGCTGAGGTAGGGGGCAGGGGAGCTGCAGAGAGGGCATGGGGGCAGGCCAGGGCACAGGGGACTGCAGACAACCCTAATCTTCATGACTGAGGGAGCCAGGCATCCGGTGTTTGAATCTGGGCTCTGCCATGTCCTAGCTGGGTGACCTCGAGCCAGGGACTTCTCTCCTTGAGCCTCAGTTTCCTCCTCTGTAAGGTGAGGGTAATGAGTCCCTCCTTCATAGTTGCTCTGAGAATGAAGTGGGAAAATGCATGGGCCCAGCACCCAGGAAGTGCTCAATCCATGTCAGCTGTGATGCCCAGCTGGGACCAGAGCTGGTCACCCAGGGCTGGGGAGAGGCCCAGCTGGGCAGAGGCAGCTGCTGTCCTCTTCATCAGCTCTGCAGGACCAGGGCCACCAGGCCTCCTCCCCTTTGACCTGGGCTGGTCCTAGACAAGCTCGAAGTCCCTGCCCCTGCCCCCACCACCTCCCAGGATAAGCCTCAGAAGGAACTGGCTAGAGGCCAAGGCAGGACCCCCAAGTCATCTCCTAATAGAGGAGAAAGGATGTTAAAGGACTGTGCAGGCTGGCTTGTGTGGACAGGGAGACCGAGGCTCAGAGAGGAGCCCTGGCTCAAAGTCACCCAGACAGTCATTGCCGGAGCCAAGACCAGATTCCAAAGTTTCGGACCCCTTTTTATCCCAAAACATGTGCTTTAAAAGGGAAAGGGTCAGCTGCAGGCTGGAGAGTCAGTGTTGGGCAGAAGGGGTCCAGGGGGACAGGCTGGTCAGAGGGAAGAGAAGGCAGGGGTGCAATCCCCTATATTTGTGAGGCTAGACCAGTGGGCCTGGGAGTCAGAGACCCCAGGATGGGGCATGGGACTCTCAGCTTGGGCAGCCGCCTGAGGCCCCCTGGGGAAGCTGGCCCTGTCACCGGGCTAGTCACGGGAAGGAGGAGGTGGTGACTGCGGTTTCTCTTCCTGTGAACGATGTGAGTCCCCAGGCCCCCCCCAGTTCCGGCGGAAGGAAGAGTGGCGGGGCTGAGGCAGAGACAGGCTGGGGAGGCCTGACAGATTCAGGGGCCAAACCCTGGGCCTGCAGGACCCTAGGGTGAGGCAGAGCACACTGGGCAGCTGGGTCACTGTCATAGTGGCCAAACCTGCTGGTGGTCCTGGGATTTGGGGCAAGTGCACCCCACCCTGGGCTGCAGGCAGGTTGGCGCCTGACCAGGGACAGCAGGTCCCGATGCCATGGGGGAGGCTGAACCTATCAGTCATCACCTCCCTGGTGCGGGCAGTCCTGAGCCACCAGAGGAGGCCTCCAAGCCAGCAATTTGCTGTCCTGTGTTCAAATCCCAGTTCTGCTGCCTACTTAGCTGTGTGACCTTGAGAAGTCGCTTTACTTCTCTGGTGCAATAATCAGGAAGCAAAGAGAAGCTGGGCTGAGAAGCCTTGGGGGTAGGGAGAAGAAGTGATGACACAGAAGGGGAGGCCTCACCCCTCAAACCCAAGGCAGGAGCACCTCCTCCAGGAAGCCTTCCTGGAAAATCTAAACTTGACTTGGCTGCTTGCCTTCCAAGCAGCCATAGCAACCCCCACCCCCCACCACCCCTGCTTCTGTCTGTGCAAAACACTTTATTTCAAGATCTGATTATGGACTATACTACTAATAATAATAACTAACACAGACTGCTTCTCAGGTACGGGTGCTGCTCTAGGAGCTTCATGCGTATAAATTCATTTAATCCTCCCAACTGCCCAGGACTATTACTACTGCCAGGTTTTACTGATAGGAAACATAGGCCCAGAGAGGCTTAGTGCTTGGTCTAGGGTAACACAGCTAATACACAGCACAGTCAGGGTTTGAACCGCACAGCCTGGCCCTGGAGCCCATGGTTGCAATCACCATGAGGCT